TGGGGTCAAGTGCGGTGGGAGGGGGAGAGGTTCCAGTCACGGTCACAGCTCTCCAGGCTCTCAGCCTACTGTCAAGGAGGGTCATCCTGAGCGCCCCCAGATCAGGAAAGTGCCTCCCTTCGAGATAGGAGAGCTGAGAATGCTCTGCAGCCGCCCCCGTTTCCAAGGGCAGGGCCCTCGAGCGGGGGGATCAAGGAGGATGCCCTTGGCAGCACCACGTGCTGTGTGTCTGTGCACAGGGCCGAGGTCTCACTTAATTCTCAAATTGAACAACTGAGGCAAACAAAATTATCCCTACTTTACAGACGAGGAAACTGAGGTCCAGAGAGCTGGTTGTCTAGATCACATGGCTTGGAAGGGGCAGAATAAGGACTGCTACTCCAGAGCCTATGCTTCCGCCACCACGCCCCTACCAGACAGCGAATTAACGGTAACAAACCTATAAATAACATCATTGTTCGCGCTGACTTGTCGGGCACCTACTACGTGCGGGCCTTGGGCCTCGCATGTCAACCTCTTTCTCTCACGGAATCCTCACACATCCCTCTGAGGTGGGGATTCTTATCCACAGCTGGGGTCACAGAGCCAGGGTCAGAACTCGGGCTGCCTCTCTGTCCCCAGCCACGCTCTGGGCTCACTCACAGTTGTAGGAGGACGGGGAACTGCGGGCACGGCTGAAGCCCAGCTGCCCGCTGCCGATGCCCGTGCCCTCCAACGCCATGCGCTCCTTGGTCTTGAGGGCGTGGGTTCGCTCCTGCCGGAGGCGCTCCTCGTCCTTGAGCAGGGCCATCACCTGCTTGACCTTCTCGCGCACGTTGACACCCTGGTCCTTGCCATCGCGGTCGATGTACTGGAAGTCCTTGAGCGTCTGGATGGTGTAGAGGTTCTCCCGGCACTGGTGGGCCACCCGCTCGGAGCCTGTCTTGAGCAGGTAGTCCAGCAGCGTCAGCGCCTTGTACACGTGCCGCCAGTTCTTGCCGCTGTCATTGAGCCGCCGCCACAGCATGCCCATGACCTCGGCAAAGGCCACCGTGTTGAAGGTCAGATCGGCAATCTCCGACATGAGTGAGCTGGGCGGACCCCACGGGTCATTGCTAGTGGCCTCGCGCACCTTGATCTCCGCTTCCGAGTAGTTGTGCACGATGTTCTTCACCTGGCGCCGCAGCGCTGATGTCGTCATGGCTGGGGACTTGGAGATGGGCGGCCCCCGCCCCAGCCGCAGGTGGAGGGCCGAGGAGGGCCACCGTCGTCGTCGTCGAGAGGTCACGGTCTCCAAGGGTGGGCCGCCGTGCTCTCAGCAGGGCGGCTGTGTCCTTGGCTTCCACATGGGTCTGAGGAAGAGAGGGCCTGGAACTTAGGAGCAATGGGCCACCTTGCTGGCCACTCAGCCAGCGACTAAAGCCCTGGCCAGGGTGTCCCTGCCGCCAGGAACAGCCTTCGGCAGGCACTCATTTTGATTTTTTATTTTACTTATTATTCAGCAGGTACTTGTAACTTTGCATGCTCATTAATCTTTACAATCACACCTACAAAGACATTATTATTATTACCTCCGTTCGAAGATGGGGAAAGTTTGAGAGAAAGATTAAATGACTTGTCCAAGATCACAGAGCTGGTGAATGCGGAACCAGGATTAACCCAGGTAGACACGCTCCACAGTCTTTGCTCTTAGTTTAGGGACACGAAAGTGACCCCCCAGGAATGCCTACTTGTCTTGCTTCTCCTTCACTACCTCTGTTTCTGCTGGGATCTGCCTTAAGACCTATCCTTTCCAACTTCTCCATCCTCACTTTGCTCTCTTCTTATACTGTTAATTTTTTTTTTTTTTTTTTTTTGCAGTACGCGGGCCTCTCACTGTTGTGGCCTCTCCTGTTGTGGACCACAGGCTCCGGACGCGCAGGCTCAGCGGCCATGGCTCACAGGCCCAGCCTCCGCAGCATGTGGGATCCTCCCAGACCGGGGCACGAACCCGTGTCCCCTGCATCGGCAGGCGGACTCTCAACCACTGCGCCACCAGGGAAGCCCTATACTGTTAATTTTTGTAGCTTGATCCATTCAACACCAATTTCCTGGGGACTCCTCTGAGCCAGGCTCTATGGCAAGCATAGAGTGCAAGCCTCGGCCCACACACATCCACTTGAGAGGGTGCAGGCAGTCACAGTCCAGCATGGGAGTGCAGAGGAGCACAGGAGTACCCAAGCTAGGAAAATCAGGAGAGCCTTCCCAGAGGAGGTGACGGCTGAGCTGATCCGAGGTTCGAAGTGAAGAGTGAGGAGGAGTGAGGCAGCAAGGCAAGGAAGGAGCATCTGGGGGAGGCTGCCTCCCAAAGAGGACCCATCGTACACACCAGAGCACTGAGGCCAGAGAGGGCTATGGCATGCCCATAGTCACACAGTGTGTAGGTGGCAGAGCTGGGACTAACACCTAGGTGTCCAGAATACGAATCCAATTGATTCATCTGATTGCTTTATTGCCTCAATCCCACCTTCTCAGCCAGAATGAAAACTCCCTGAGGGCAAGGCCAGTCTGGGCTCCCCAAACCCCCAAGGCCCTGGGCACGTGGTAGACCTCTGATCTCCCAGCTGAGGGAAGATTAGAGCCAGCCCACAGCCTCAGGACCAGGCCATCAGCTAAAAGCACACCCAGGCCCAAGACAGAGAAAGGTTCTCCCAGGGCCCTACCAGAAACCAAAACCCGAATCCCCCTGCCACCACCATTCCTCTGGTGTGGAGACACACACACACACACACACACACACACACACTCTCTCTCTCTCTCTCTCTCTCTCTCTCTCTCTCTCTCTCTCTCTC